CCTCGAGAGAGGCTGGCCTCTGTACTCCTCTGGAGTTGCCCACGATGAGAGGCGGCGGGCTGGTGTGGGCTTGCTTATAGCCCCCCAGCTTAGCCGCCATGTGTTGGAGTTTACCCCGGTGAACGAGAGGGTCGCTTCCCTGCACCTTCGGATCGGGGATAGGTCTCTCACTGCCGTTTGTGCCTACGGGCCGAATGGCAGTGTAGAGTACCCAGCCTTCTTGGAGTCCCTGGGAGGGGTGCTGGAAAAGGCCCCGACTGGGGACTCCGTTGTTCTACTGATGAGTGGAAAACCGCTTTCAACACACCGGCGGGACACTATGAGTACCTGGTTATGCAGTTTGGATTAACCAACACACCAGCAGTTTTCCAAAACCTGATTTAATGATGTTCTGGGGGATATGTTGAACGTTTTTGTTTTCGTTTACCTAGACAATATCCTTATCTTTTCACCCTCTAAAACCCAACACGTAGAGCATGTCAGTGCAGTGTTACAACGGTTGTTACAGAATAATTTTATATGTGAAAGCAGAAAAATGTACCTTTCATGTGTCCACTGTCTTTTTTGGGGTTTGTAATTTCTACAGGCCACATCTGTATGGAGCCTGCCAAGATACGAGCGGTTGCAGACTGGCCTACGCCAACCTCCCATCAACAAACCCAACGGTTTCTGGGATTTGCTAACTTTTATAGAAAGTTTATCAGGAACTATAGCACTATTGCTGCCCTGCTCCACCGGCTTACCTCACCAAGCGCTTCACCTGGGACAGTGCAGCTGACCAAGCCTTCGCTGCCCTCAAACGACTTTTTGGCGCTGCCCCTATCCTCATGATGCCTGACCCAGAAAGGCAGTTTGTGGTGGAGGTCGACGCTTCGGACTCCGGGGTGGGGGCAGTGCTTTCCCAGCGCTCTGCTCAGAATGGGAAAATGCACCCTTGTGCGTTTTTCTCCAAACGACTCTCCCAGGCAGAAAGCAACTACTGCGTGGGAAAGAGGGAACTGCTGGCCCTTAAGCTGGTGCTGGAGGAGTGGAGGCACTGGTTGGAGGGTGCCAAGCACCCATTTTTGGTCTGGACTGACCATAAGAACCTAGAATATCTGCACTCTGCCAAGCGGCTGAACCCCAGGCAGGCTAGGTGGGCTCTGTTCTTTGACCAGTTTGACTTTTCCTTCTCTTTCCGCCCAGGTCGCCATAACAGGAAGGCAGATGCCCTTTCCCGCCAGCATAACCGGGAGGACAGGGCCGCAGAACCAGTATACATACATACATACTGCCCCAGTCTGCCCGTGTGGGTGCTGCTCTTCTCAGCATTGAACAAGACGTCATTGAAGCCCAGGGGTTGGAACCAGGTCTGTCGGCCTGTTCTACCAACCGCCTGTTTGTTCCGGCGGCCTTGCGCACCAAGGTGCTACAGTGGTGTCACGCCGCCAAGATCGCATGTCATCCTGGGGTGGCACGAACCTGCTACCTCGTGCAAAGGCGGTTTTGGTGGCCCACTGTAAAAGACGATGTCCGGGGGTTTGTGGCTGCATGCCCTGACTGCGCCGAGCACAAGGTCCCCACAGGTAAACCGGTGGGGCTGTTATGCCCTCTCCCCGTTCCCCTGAGACCATGGACCCACATCTCTGTGGACTTTGTAACCGGCCTTCCCGCATCACGAGGTAACACAACCATCCTCACTATTGTTGACAAGTTTTCTAAGATGGTTCACTTCGTACCACTACCCAAGTTACCCTCAGCTAAGGACACAGCCCAACTCCTCATCCTACATGTGTTCCGGTTGCATGGTCTCTTCAGGGATGTGGTGTCGAACAGGGGACCCCAGTTTGTGGCCCGATTCTGGACGGAGTTTTGTCGGCTCCTGGGCATCTCTGTTGGTCTCTCTTCTGGTTTCCATACTCAGACCAACGGGCAGACTGAACGGCTCATTCAACAACTGAAAACTGGCCTCTTGTGCCTCTGGTCTCTTGTGCCACCAGGACTCGACACTGTGGGCTGATAATGTGACCTGGGTGGAATATTCCCGCAACTCCCTGCCTTCAGCCGCTACTGGTATGTCCCCTTTTGAGTGTGTGTATGGTTACTCTCCCCCCTTATTTCCCACTTTGGAACCAGCGATCCGGGTGCCGTCTGCATCCGCCTTAGTCCGTCGCTGTCACCGAGCCTGGAGAAGGGCCCGCCTAGTCTTGCTCCGTTCAGTCCAGGCATATGAAAAGTGGGCCAACTTACACCGGTCCCAAGCACTTGTCTACCAGCCCGGCCAGAAGACCCCTTAGAACCGAATGTCGCAAATTATCCCCTAGGTTCATAGGGCCTTTCCCCATCTCCAAGATAATCAACCCAGCAGCGGTTTGCCTCTGTCTGCCCCTCTCTTCGAGTACATCCCATGTTTTATGTATCCTGGGTCAAGCCTGTTTGGTCCAGTCCACTGGCTCCTCCACCCGTGCCTCCACCACCTGCTCGCTTTGTTGATGGGAGATCCGGTCTACATGGTCCAGCATCTCCTACGGTCCCGAAAATGTGGCCAGGGGGTCCAATACTTGGTAGACTGGGAGGGGTACGGACCGGAGGAGCGGTCCTGGGTGCCGTACCGCCATATCACGGACCCTTCCCTCATTCAAGACTTCCATAGGGCCCATCCGGGCCAGCCTGATGGTGGTTGTGGGACCGCCGTGTGAGGGGGGTTCTGTTGTGGTTGTGCCCTCCTTCCTGGCCCCCTCCTCCCTCCCTGCTTGGTTCGGTTTTGGTTTGGTTTGTTTGGATGTCTGGGAGCCATCCTTGTGTGTGTGGGGGGGTACTGTCATGATTTGGTTCTGCTGCTTCCTGTCCGGCTTTTATTTTGATGTTACTTCCTGTTTTGTTTCATCACAGTTTCGGTCATTTTACTTTCTGTTTTCCCTTTTCCTCTTGTCTGGTGTTGTAATTGAGTCCACTAATTCATCTGGTTGGTAAGTGTAGTGGACACCTGACAACTTTTATGGGCAAGAATAAATGATAGTCTAAGTAGCTGACTGATTAGACCTGATACACTCTTGATAGAAAATGTGTAAATAAATCTAATTTAAGAAAATCCTACAAAAGACAACTGTTGGTAAAATGGAACATGCAACAGGCTCAGAGAGCAAAGTTAATTAAATTCTCCAACCCTAAGCCATCAGGTCAGAAACCTTAGTGTTATCCTGGACTCGGAACTGAATTTTAAGACTCATGTGGAGTTTGTCACCTAATCTGGTTTTCATCGTCTCAGAAATATGAAAGTGAAACCATTTCTTGCTCAGAGTGAATTATCTTAATGATGTTTGGCATGGTGGAGACACTACTGAACCAGGCCAAGCTCTAATTGCTGTTTGTTTGTTTGTCAGATCATCTATGTGATGCGTAATCCAAAGGACGTCATCACCTCCTATTACCACTTCAGCAGTATCGCCTCCTACATCGAGACTCCCAAGAGCTTTGAACACTATTTGGATCAGTTTCTGACTGGCAACGGTGAGTTACCTCAGCTCTACAGTGTGAATGATAGTGATGATGACCAGATAGAGTCCAGTCCTAAGACTAAGTTCTCCTGTTTATTTCATGAAATCAAGTCTGACAATAAGTTCTCTATGTTGTCATAAAGTCACACTTTAAGTTTTTTCATATACTTACCTGCATTTCTTAATAACTAAGTTCATGTTTGTGCCTACACTTCTTTATTAAAATGTTTTACCCACTTGGTCATCCCTGATCCCTGATTTGCATTTGAGTCCCCAACACAGATCATGACAGTTTAAGCTTTTAGGCTTCTTGTACCATGTTGGTTGTGTTTGCATGTTACAGACTGGAATAAATACAGTATATTCAAGAAACACTTTTATGAAAATTTTACATCAATATACAATTATACAGTTGGAGGGTCGTCCTGGTTTGACCACATCAGAGAGTGGCATTCAAAGAAAGACCAGTACAACATCCTCTTCCTGACCTATGAGGACATGATCTTGGTAAGATGTGATTTTCTCCTCAGGTTGTTCATGTGAAAACACTCCAATAAATTCTTTGTCAGAATTGAAGTTTTCCTCTGTTGGTCTCCCGTTTCTCTGTTTCAGGACCTGAAGGCAGCAGTAACTAAGATCTACAGTTTCTTAGGAAAACAGCTCAGTGAAGCAGCCATTGATCAAGTTGTAGAAAAAGCCACATTTAAAACCATGAAGAAAGACCCAAAAGCCAACTATGAATTTGTATCAAAAGACACCATCAGTGGAAACTTCATGCGCAAAGGTAACATAACAGCCCTCTCAGCCCAACTGAAGCAGTCATCTCCTGTGCAGAAACATTTATAAAGATAGTTGGGTTCAGCTTTCACTTTTCACTCTTCACTTTTCACTTCACTTTTGTGGTTGAAATAAAAGAGCAGCACCAGGTTCTCCCACTCACCCTATAGTCATTTTTCATTCAGTCTGTGCTTGTTGCCTGGCAACAGCTCCTCACAGGTGTTTGTATGAAGTCTGCATTCACTCCTTCCTGAATATGCTGTGTTTAGCTCTTAGGAATCAAGGTCTCCTGTATCATCATGCTATGTGTTCCTATATGCATTTCTCAGTTCCTGCCATTATACTGGCCTGTGCCCACCATTTTCCCTGCCAATCAATGCTGCCAGTTCTCTGTTTAGTGTTCTCAGTATTAAACATCTAATACTCTATATTCAATACCTTTTCATGTAATTAATAATCTTGAAAGTAACAAACAGTACACTAACTGCCTGCATTCATCTGGATTTCCTGCAGGTTGAGTACTTTCGTTTTTATTTTCCACTTTCTTCTGATGATAAATGGACTGAGAACAAAAGACCAAAACAAACTGCACTCTGCTACTTTCACTTTCATTTCAGTGGCTATATAAGCAGCCGGGGCTAAGGAGTCCACTGGTGACCAACCCAGAGGAGAGGGAGACGGCTGTCTGCAGTGTGTGCTCTCACGGTAAGCTTTGCTCTTACTCACACAGGCATGAAGGGAAAATTTAAATGAATCCCTCAGTGTTTTGGTCATAGTTTGTTTACAGTGGAAGAACAGAGGAAGTTTGAGTGTAGAGATCAGTGACAGTAGTGCAAACAATAATAGGAGATTGTCAGATGGTTCAGCATCTCCAGGGTGTTGGTGATGAGGTGCAAATAGCATATGAGGTATACATGGATAGTATTGCAAATGACCAACAGCAGCAGATATCCTGGCAAAAAAAAAACAGTCAGCAGCAGATTTACATATAACAGATGGTAAAACAGCAGAGGTAGTTTTTTTTGTTTTGTTTTGTTTCTGTGGTGGGTTATTGTCTAGGGGCAGAGGGGAGAAGATAATGGGCAACGTTCAGCATCCTCACAGCCTGGTGGGATGAAGCTGTTTGTAAGTCTGGTGGAGTGGGCCTGAAGACGCCGATACCTTCTCCATGAAGGCAGGAGTCTGAAGTGGGTGTGTGAGAGGTGGGAGGTGTCATCATCAATGCTGATGGCTCTACAGGTGAGGCGAGTGATGAAGATGTCCATAAGGGAAGGCAGAGGGGCACCAATGATCTTGCTGGCTGTTTTCACTGTGTTGCAGGGCCCTTCTGCAGGAGGCAGTACAGGCTCCGTACCACACAGTGATGCAGCCAGCGATGACGCTCTCAATGGTGCCCCGGTAGAAGGAGCGCATGATGGGGGGGTGGGGCACTGGCTGTCCTCAGTTTGTGAAGGAAGTAGAGGCGTGTTTGAGCTTTCTTGGCCAGTGATGTTGGTCCAGGAGAGGTCCTCAGAGATGTGCACCCCCGGGAACTTGGTACTGCTCACTTTCTCCATTACAGCACCTTCGATGGTCAGTGGTGGATGCTTTGGAGGTTTTCTCTTGAAGTCCACAATGATCTCTTTATTCTTCCCCACATTGAGGAAGAGGTTGTTGTCCTTGCACAACTGGACCAGTTGGCACACCTCACTCCTGTAGTTAGCCTCATCGTTGTTGGTAATGAGGCCAACTATAGTCGTGTCATCCGCAAACTTGACAATGTGGTTGGTGCTGTAGGTTGGCACACAGTCGTGGGTCAGCAGTGGGAAGAGCAATGGGCCTGTCATCCATGGCTTCTGGTTGGCACGAACAGTGATATTTTTGCTGTAGGTGACATCATCAATGCATTTTGTGATGTATGCAGTGACGGCCTCAGTGTATTCCTCTATGTCTATGTGATTGTTGTGAGTGCCTGCTTGTTTGAAAATGTCCCAGTCTGTAGTGTCAAAACAGTTCTTCAGAGCAGAGGAAGCCCCCTCCGGCCACACTCGTACCTCCTTTTGTTTTGGTCTGATGGCTCTCACTCTGGGTCTGTATGCAGAGAGACCCAGGTGGGGACGGGGGGAGGCTTTGTATGCTCCCTTGCATGCGGTGTACACCAGGTCCAGTGTGACATTATAAACAAATCTTGATTTTGAAAAAGACATGCTTTATTAATTTTTGTACAGTCTGTATTCATTTAATATGCAAAATATTGGATCTCATTTTCCAAGGTTTTCCCTCCAGTGCTCTGTGTAGTGTTCTCACTATTAAACATCTGCTCTATATCCAATAGAATAATCTTATTTGGTAGTGCAAAGTCAATGTGCTGCTTAAAGATGCATGAGTGTACTGTATATGATGCTAGTGGATGCTCTGTTCTACATGGATAAGCAGTCTGGCATAAATCCAGTCTTCTTCCAGTTCCTAGTTCCACCAGTATCATAACCTTAGTCTTTGTCCTGTCCCTGCCCCATGATTATTGTTATTATTATTTTCCTAAGTACAGTAAACATAACTCATTAGTAAATGTAGCCCGTTAGAATTTACAGTGTACCTGCCTTCAGTGTCCTGCCCAAGGACATGTCAAAGTGTCCCTGGGTAAGACACTGAACCCCCCAAGTTGCCTGTGATGGCGGCGCGTATGCATGCAGCAGCCCGGGGCCCCTCGGCTCCAAACAAAATTTTGTTGTACGTGTCACAATGTTACAATGACAATAAATGATGGTTAGGACCCTGACCTTACCAGACCTTTTTTCAACTGTTGCACTGTCCTGTGTTGGGATGCTTGTTCCTCGTTGTTTCTGGTCAGTAGTCAGCCCTTGGTTTAAACTGTTTGCCTACCTGTGTAAAGACAACTTGCTTCTCCCTGGATCTACGTATTTCGTCTGCCCCTTGTGCGATCTTTTTGTTTTTGCCTGCTTGGCCATGAACAGTTTTGTCCCTGTGACTATGATCAAGCCTGCTCCCCACATGGGTTTGTTTGAAGTCTGCATTCACTCCTGCCTGAATATGCTGTGTTTAGCGCTTAGGAATCAAGGTCTCCTGTATCATCATGCTTACCTGTGTTCCTATATGCATCTCTCAGTTCCTGCCATTATACTGGCCTGTGCCCACCATTTTAACCTACCACTCAATGCTGCCAGTGCTCTGTGTAGTGTTCTCACTATTAAACATCTGCTCTATATTCAATACGTTTTCATGTCATCCGCTTATCCGGGACCGGGTCGCGGGGGCAGCAGTCTAAGCAAAGATGCCCAGACTTCCCTCTCTCCAGACACTTCCTTCAGCTCCTCCAGGAGAATGCCTAGGTGTTCCCAGGCCAGCCGAGAGACAGAGTCCCTCCAGCGTGTCCTGGGTCTTCCCCGGGACCTCCTCCTGGTGGGACATGCCCGGAACACCTCCCTAGGAAGGCGCCCAGGAGGCAAATGAAACAGATGCCCGAGCCACCTCAGCTGGCTCCTCTTGATGTGGAGGAGCAGCGGTTCTACTCTGAGCTCCTCCCGGGTGACCAAGCTCCTCACCCTATCTCTAAGGGTGCGCCCGGGCGCCCTGTGGAGAAAGCTCATTTCGGCCACCTGTATCCGGGATCTTGCCCTTTCGGTCATGACCCAAAGTTCATGACCATAGCTGAGAGTCGGAACGTAGATTGACCAGTAAATCGAGAGCTTCGCCTTACAGCTCAGCTCCTTCTTCACCACGACTGCCCGGTACATCGACCGCATTACTGCAGAAGCTGCAACGATCTGCCTGTCAATCTCCCGTTCCATCCTTCCCTCACT